ATAGCTGATCTAATCCATGTGGAAGTAATCTTTTAGAAATACCAATCAAAACTATGTTGACACTTTTACACTGATGATAATATTAATACTAATCTTTGCATTGGATATGGTGTCTCATCACATCTTCAAAACATCTTTAAGCAATTCACAGGATTTTATTGAAAAGTATCACCTCCATCCTCTCCGCAGCTCAGCATCAGGCTCCAATATTGTTAAGCGCTCATAGACGCTACCCTGTATGAAGGGTACAATATAAATGTAAGGCTTTGGAGACTGCAGAGTGAGTGTTGAGGTAACTGCTAGAGTCTAACCAGATAAAACCGCGTAGCTTGCCATTGAAAGCACTGCCTGGCAAGTTTTCCCACTGCTTGTAGGACCACCGTTAGGGCTTTGAGATCATCTTGGATGGGAAAGGCAAATGCCCTGGGGACGAGTACTTTAATGAATCAGCTCAGCTCAATCTCAGCTCTAAGTCAGAGGTTGTGGGTTGACAAAGTTTAAACTCATTATCTGGATTTGGATTTCCCGTCTCTCTGAGGATCAAATTCAAAATCCTTATTGTTCAGAAAGAAATCTCTCCATGCCTCAGCCCCTCCCTATCTCTGTGACCTTCTCCAACCACACTCTCCTGTTTGGTTTTGTCTGACACCTGCAAAATACTTTCACCTTCCTTCACCAGATTTTAAGTTTTTCTACATTCAGTGCCAATGAAGTCAAATAATATTTATTAGTAGAAATAATTTTAAGGATCCATTTGAAGAAAAAAATCTGTTTATCTAACAGCGCCAAATGCAATGAAGAAGTTGTATTTCATGGTGACATCCAAATGATTAATTAACTACAGTTTCAGCGCTGCACAGAGATTTGTGATTTTGAACTCCCCTCATTGCCAAGGAATGACTTTATGACATTGTGCAGCCGCTAGGAAGAGATCTACACTGAAACCTAGAATTAAAACCAGGTGCTTCTATATATGCTCGTTAAATGTTCTGCCAAAAAGCTCATAAATAAGCTTGAAATGTTCATTTCAAAGGCAAACTCATAGCTTTGCCAGTGAAAACACTGCCTGGCAAGATTCCAGCAGTTACCCCAACACACTTTCTGTGGTCCCCAAGCCGTGACTCTTGCCAACCTGCTCCTAATGCTCTCCAGGGAGTAAGCGCACATTCCATTCTAATAAATATCTCAGGAATTTCCACGTATAGATCAAACTGTGTTTGGTTTGGATACTCTTAAGAATGGTGATAGATTTCTGCCCATAAAATATACAGTCAACTCACGTAATAGTATATTCTATGAAGAGCTTTGAGATGTCTCGAAGACATGATGATGGACTATAACAAATGCAAGTATTATTATTAAGTGTCAGGCACCAGACTGACCATAAGGACCTGGAGGCCCAAGAGCCAGTGCCAAGGAGAGCAATGTGAATGGTCCATTCTTAGCGGGAGAGCTATGAGCTAGATTTTTGGGGGATCAGCCGGATCCCTGACACATGCGGAAATCCATTACCATACTTAAGAGTATCCACAGCAGAACTAGAGTTTCACATATGTATGTCATCTATGAAAATTTCCCAGGTTCTAAAATGGAATGCACGTTCTTAGACTGGAGAGATGCATCCGCTTACCTCATTCCCGAGAGTATTAGGTGCAGGTTAGTGAAAGCCAAAGCATTGCAGTACTCCTGGAGTTCAACCAGTTAAAATCACATTAGCTTGCTAAACTGACACCTGTGACATGATATGTAGCCCAGTGGAAAGTTGGATTACTCCCTCATAGTATTGCATCAATGCCACAAAGGGGTTGGAGCTTAAATCCTTGAACACTGCAGATTCTGAGACATTCCCTTGACCCTCTCCTCCTCCTTGGGAGTGATGATAAGACGGGATCCTTTGTTACTGAGGTTTAACAGGTTGCATGATCAGTTTATTCTGTATGTCGTTCTCAATATTGAACTCTTTGCAAACAAGTACTTCTTATCCTCATTTGCGAACCAGATATAATTCTGGAGTGGGGAGGGACATGTGTACAGACCCAGCATAGTCAATACTTAGCCCAGCTATCACACGATACTGAATAATGAGCACTTTGGAAATGTTTGTTGAGTTCCTTAGCATCGGCTTAATAATAAGTGTACATGGAGCATAAACTGCCCAGTGTCATTCACACAGCCTGTAAAAAATGCACCACAAAATGCGGAAAAAGTAGGGCATCTCACATTGTGATAGCCATTCTGATGATACCGCAAAGCAAAAGAGTATAAGATAAATTGAATGGAATGATTGTTCTGTGGTGTACACACTGTGAGATTGGACTTCCTGGCAGCTTAAACCATTCCTAACACATGAAAAGTCTATTTAAGAAACCCCAATGTGGTCTTGTTCTGAAAAGCCCCATGACTTCTAGAGACAGAAACATTACACATTTTATAATACTGGATCCTTCAGTGGTGAAGGAAGCCAGAACACTAACACCATAAAATTGAACTTGAAAGTTTTTAGATGTATCACATACGCCCAAAATACTCTTTTGTGCTGTGAATATCAACTCTTTTCTCACTTCAAAGAGAGATTGTGCATTGGGCATGCATGATGCATATCTTGCTCCTTGTGAAATCTAAGTAAATGTTTCTTCACATTTAACTCTCCATGTAACAGTTACAATTGCCAGTTTTGTTTCACGCTGTACAGATTAGGGGAATCATTTCCCGGTTCCTGCCTTCATCTGGCCTTGAGTACCATTTTTGGTACAGAGTAGTCTAGATGTCAGCTCCAATCTTTTCTTCCAAGAAGCACAACAACAACTTGCACTTATATAGTGCCCTCCATGCACGGTAGCGTCTCAGAGCACTTAACAGTGGCAGAGCATGACTCCGAGTCAGGAGGTGGGGAGGGGAGGTGACCGTAAGCAAAGCTGAAAAAGTAGGTTTTCAGGTGGGGCGTGAAAAAGGGAGAGGGAGGGCAACGCAGAGGGATTGAGGGACAGTGTTCCAGAGTTTTGGGGTGCAGTGGCTGAATGTGCGACCTCCAATGGTGGGGAAAATGAGTGTGAGGATCTTCAAGTCGATACGTTTGGTGATGGGGAGCCAGTGGAGCCTCGCCTGAACTAGTGAGATGTGGGTACGGAGTTTGGTCCGGGTAAGTATGTGGGCAGCAGATTTCTGAATGAGCTGGACTTTTTGAATAGTGGAGATCGGTAAGAAGTGCATTTGAGTAATCCAAGCAGAAGGTGACAAACGCGTGCACGAGGGTTTCGGCTGCATTTGGGGTAAGGTACGGTTGGAGGCGGACAATGTGGCGGAGGTGGAGGAAGGCGGTCCTGGTTAGGAACCAGATGTGGGGAAGTAAGAACAGCTGGGGGTCAAACCGGAAGACTAGATTGCGCACTGGTTCAGTGAGTCTGAGGGAAAGGTTGGGGAGGTTTAGGAGGTCAGATCTGCAGGAGTGGAGATGTTGACAGGAGCCAATAAGTATGGCTTCTGTCTTGTTCACATTCAGCTGCAGGAAGTTTGCACTCATGCAGGCCCTGACATCTGCTAGACAAACTGATACAACATCAGCGGACCTGGAGTCGCAGCTGGAGGAGGCAAAGTAGATTTGTGTGTCATCCACATACATGTGAAAATTTACCCCGTGTCTGCGGATGACACTGCCGAGAGGGAGCATGTAGATAAGGGAAAGAAGGTGGCCAAGGATGGAGCCCTGGGGTACCCCTCAGGTGACCAGGTGGGGGCGGAAGGAGAAACCATTTGTCAAGATGAAGTGGAGGTGGTAGGGTAGGAATAGGAGGGTTTTCACACTCTAGTTGTGCAATTGCTGACAGCATATTTCCAAATAACCCCACAGATACCAGATCACCCGATTTAAGTGTAAAATTATCTAATGGGTATTTGTTATATCATGCATGCATTGTGTTTGATATACATAAATATACACATGGTCATTGTGTGTGGCACATTGTGTCATCTGTGTTATCTGTGTGCAACACACTCACAGCTCTGTGTTATACTGTATTACACACTCTCAACTCTGTTATTCTATGTGTAACACACTCATAAATCTGTTATACTACAACAACTTGCATTTACATAGCACACTTCACGTGGGGTAGCGTTCCGGAGCACTTCACAGTGGTGGAGTCTGACAATGAGCCAGGGGCAAAGGAAGTTATACTGTAACATGCTCACAGCTCTGCGTTATCCGGTGTAACAAGTTCATGGCTCTGTGTTGTATTGTAATGCCATATCGGCCTGTCCGTTCCCTCCACTCAGCAGGCCTGCTCCACGTCCTCCACCCGGCTCGCCCCCACCATCGGCGGTTCGGCCATCAGCCTCTCTGCCCCAACCCTTTGGAACTCCATCCCACAGTCCCTTCACCTTGTTCCCTTCGTGCCTTCAAGGCACGTCTCAAGACCCTCCTCTTTGACCATGCTTTTGGTCACCCTTCTACCCCTACCGTCCCTGCCCTCCACACCTCCTGATCCCAATCCCCTGCTCGTGTCCAAATTTCCAATCCCCTGCTCGGGTCCAAATCCCTGACAGTCCAATACTGTAGTACATCCTTCCGAAGTGAAAGGATGTACAAATGTAATTTGTTGTTGTTGTTGTAATATGCTCTGTGTTATATTGTAGGTAACTGTTATTCTGTAGCTCTGTTTTATTCTGTATCTCGCTCACAGGTCAGTGTTATCCTCAATGCAAATACATGCTCCCAGGAAATAGTAGCTTGGCTGCTTCAATGTTCTTTCTAACATTTGCCTGCTGCACAATCACATTATCAGACGGCTCTCTGAGGCTTTTGTCTCTTTAAGAGCTCTGTCCAGTGCCCAGTTTAATCTTTCCTGGACAAAAAGACCAGTGAGACGCTCTGGCCTGGAGAGCTGCAGGCACGGTTGAGAGAGCAAAAGCTGTGACCAGATAGGGCATGTGATGTGTCCCTCTTGGCACACACAGCGCAAGTGATAGAAAAGCGAGAGGAGGCAGACACACGGCAGTGCACTGCTCTGTTTGCTGAGCTCCGAGGGAATCGGGAGGCCCTGGGAAGGAAACCTCCGCTCAGGTAAAGCCGGCTTCCCTTTGAGTCATTTTTCTTGTTTCCCGTATTGCGTTACCAACTTCTCAAATGCAAAGTTTATGATCACTTTGCTGTGTTGTTCCCCGTGTTGTGCTTTGAAGTTGCTGAAATGTAACAGGATTGAAATGCACTGTACTCACCTTGCAGCACGATCGCTTGTGGCATTTCATAAACGTTAGTACCATAAATCTGTTATTTAAAACTATTAATAGGCATCGTTAGTACATTGTTAGAAGTAGGATATAGTATTTAATGTGTAAAGATTGTTCAAATTTGGTGATATTAATACATGGCGTTGTTAATCTGTGCAGTAGTTATTGTTAATGTGTAGCTTCAGTGATCCTTGATATTAGTCAACTAAAATAATAATAATAATAATCCTTGCGTTTGATACAGCACCTTATCACGTCTTCGAGACGTCTCAAAGCATTTCACAGGATATACTGTAGAGTGTAGTGACTGTGCATTTTTGGGGCACAAAGCGGCAGATGATTGTGCACAGTAGTGTCCCACACACAATTGTGGATTGAGTGACCAAATTATTATTATTTTTGAAGGGATTATTATCCCCAGAAAGCAATCCGACAATCAACTAACAAGCGGGTTCCTACTTACTGCTAGGTAAACAGAGGCGTGTGTATGGAGTAAGGAAACTTGCCTAAGGTTTCACCCTGTCCTGCCTGGCAATTGAACCCGGATCCTCTTGTTTGCAAGGGGAGCGCACTAACTACTATGGGACTCCACAAATAGCCTCTCGCTCTCTCTCCATCGCTCTCCGTCCGTCTCTCACTCATTGTCTTTCTTTCACTGACGGTCTCTGTCTCTCACACACACTGTCTCCGTATCTCTTACACACTCTATGTTTCTCTTTCACATACACACACAGTCTCTTTCTGACACACAGACAGTCTCTCTTTCACATGTAATCTCTCTTCCCCACCCCACACACAGTCTCTCTCTCTTCCCCACCCCACACACAGTCTCTCTTCCCCACCCCACACACAGTCTCTCTTTCTCTCCCCCCACACACAGTCTCTCTTCCCCACCCCACACACAGTCTCTCTTCCCCACCCCACACACAGTCTCTCTTTCTCTCCCCCCACACACAGTATCTCTCTTGCTGTCTCTCTCCATCCCCACGCCCAGCACACACAGTTTCTCTCAAACACGCACACACACACACAGTCTTTTACTCCCACACAAACAAACACATACACACAGTCACTCTCTTTGTGACACACACACGCACACTCTTTCTCTCTCTCAATCTCTCAGTCTCTCTCTCACACACACAGTCTCTCTCTCTCTCTCCCCCCCCACACGCCCCGCCACTCTCTCTCTCCCCCCACACTCTCTCGCTGTCTCTCACCACACTCCTCAAAATGGTACCGTGGTAGTTAAATCTAGGAAGAAATTTTATTTTACGACGACAACAACAAGATTACATTTGAATAGCGCTTTTCACGTCGGGAGGACATCCCAAGGCGCTGGACAGAGTACAGCATTTCAGACTAAATAAATTACTCTTGCGTTTGATATAGTGATTTATCACATTGTCAAAGTATTTCATAGCGTTTTACAGGATTTTATTATAAAGTACATTTTTTTGTTTAGCCAGATGTTAAGAGTGCTTAAGAGTCTCACATACAGTAAACTCCTGCTAACACATCGCTCGAATGGAAAAGGACTCAGCAACGATTTATGCGGAGTGGCAAGTTAGGCATAAGTATAAAAGCATTTTTAAAATTCAGGTGGTATATTGACAGCATGATGATTTAAGTGGCAGTACACATTGTGGCCAAGTGGACAAGTTTTAGATATAGGTTGACAAGAGCCAAAGCTTTGGAACCTCATAGTGTGCTTTGGGATAACTGCTGGAGTTTAACCAGCTAAAACCACAAGGTTTGCCATTGATAGCATTGTCCTGCTGCTTGTCCAGCTCAGGCCACCTGACCCATTAGGGCTTTGGCTTGCAGAGTTAACAGGAGCAGAGTGGGAGGATTCCCAGTGACTGGTCTGCCCTTCCAGGTTATGCCAATGAGCCAGGCTGGCTGATCCGTCATCAGCAGTGCCCTGGAATACTGCAGACCCTCGTGACTCCAGAACTGGACTACCAGACCGCCACAGAGACTGCCTTGTTTTCGATATTCCGTAGAGTTTGTAAAGTGCAGTGACTATGTATTTGTAAATGAAAGTGTAGAAACCGTGGGAATGTTTACTTAACCTCAACAATAAACATGCACAGCGAACACAAAGTTATTATTTTGGGCAATAATAACTCACTGGTGTCAACCTGGACCAATAGAAAAGTGTGGATGCACTTTTTCGGTGGAATCCGCAACAAATGACCTCCTCTGCTACAAATACCACTACAAACCTGTACACACAGTGCACTCGGCCCAGGGACTCTTGCGCTGTTTTCTCAATGCTGTTACTGTGAGCGGGAAATTGGCTTTGTGCGGTGCCCGCGGTCCAAACTGAACTCCTGCAAAGAATTCCTGGTGAGTGATGTACTACTCAAATTAACAATTTTAGTATTTTAAACATAACTACATGTTCGGGAAATATATGCCTATAGTTTTAATCTGGGTTGTTTCACAAAATATATCTCTCAATAGCATCAATCAACCCTACATAAAGCGCTTCACGAGATATACAGTAAAGTGTAGTGACTGTGTATTTTGTGGGTGAAACCCAGCAGCCAATTTGTGCACAACGATGTCCCACAAGCAGCCATGAAGTGAGTGACTAATTTTATTTGAAGGAGATTGTTGGCCAGGACACCGGGAGAAATTCCCTTCTCTTTTCGAATAGTGCTATAGGACCTTTAATGTCCACCTGAACAGGCAAGTAGGACCTTGGTTTAACGTCTCATCTAAAGGACAGCATCTCCAATAGCGTAACACAACCCCAACACTGTATTGGAGTGTCAGCTTGGACAATGTGATTCCAAGTCCCGACATGGCGCTTGAACCCACAACCTTCTGACTGACAGGCAAGAATGCTACTATTGCAGCAAATTGACAGATTGGGCATCCACAACCAAACAACCCTCTGAGTAAAAAAAATTCTGCTAATCTTTGTTGGTTTGGTATTTAACCCCTTGTTACTGACACTGACAATTGGAAATAAGTTCTTTAAAGTTTACTTTATCAAAACACCCATAATTTTAAGAAAAGACTATCAGGTCTCTTATCATGTAATCTTGCTTGGCCTCAGTTTTATTGAAGGAAAAACAATAATTTACATTTATACAGATTGTTTCACAAGCTGAAAGGTCAGAGTTGAGTGGTGGGGAGTTGAGTAGGGGTATGAGAGAGGGGGCAAATATAAAAGTGGGGTTTCCTTAAGGCAAGGTGATGTGCTTGGCAACCAATGGAAAGGCAGAATCAAATCAACCTTTGGAGATGGAAGTAAGAATTGCCATCATTTGCTCCACGACATGCAGCTAGAAAGCAAAACTTTCATAATACATGTTAACATGTCTTGCAACAGGTAATTACTGTAAAGTGGATTATGCGTGGACTAAATAAAGAAACCAAATTTGGTAATGAAATTGCCTAGGATATTGGAAAATAAATCAAATCAGCAGAACATCTGATAAACATTAACAAATTTGTATAATGTTCCGGATTCAGGGGCTCCTACATTAATTCTGGGACACAACAACATGATGGGAATCCTACGTTTTAGTCCTCTGACCAGAGACGTCTGGCCTGCTGACTACCTTGAGTAGGCTGGCTCCCAGGGTGGCCTGACTGCATATGTACATATTTAACAGTATTATAGCTGAGATATGGGCTCACAAAAATAACAATAACAATAATCCTTGCATTTGATATTGCACCTTACCACAGCGTTGAGACGTGTCCCTCCCCACATTCGGTCCCTGACCAGGACCACCTCCCTCCAGCTCTGCCACATTGCCCGCATCCGATTGTACTTTACCCCAGATGTAGCTGAAACACTTGTGCTTGCGTTCATCACTTCCCAACTTGATTTTTCAAATGCCCTCTTCGCTGGTCTTCCCAGTTTCCCAAACTACAAGATTCAGCTGATCCAAAACTCCGCCCCCCGCATACTCATCCATACTAAACTCCATACACCCATCACACCAGTTCTAGCCAGGCTCCACTGGCTCCCTATGACCGAATGGATCGAAAATACACAGTCACTACACTTTACAGTATATTCAGTGAAGCACTTTAAGATATCTCAACAACGTGATAAGGTGCTATATCAAATGCAGGGCTTATTATTATTATTATTATTATTATTGTTTTAGGACAGACAACGAAAAGTACAGGGAACCACATTATGACACCCCATAACATAGCGTGCTGCCTTGTCTATAAGGCGATGGGTAGAAGTCGAAGCATAAAAATCCTGTTATGGCAAGAATAACATAAATAAGTTAGGTTGCACATTGCGAGAATAACACAAGTAAGGTTAGGTTGTGTATCAAGAGAATAACATGAGTAGGTGTTATTCACAGCAATGAAACAATAAACCAATTTCATTTGGCCAGAACACCAAGAGAAACTTACTTCTCTTTTCGAATAATGCCAGGGGGTCTTTATGTCCACCTAAACAGGCACATGAGGACTCGGTTTAACGTCTCATCCGAAGGATGGCACCTCTGACAATGGAGAGCTCCCCCAGCACTGCACTGGAGTGTCAGCCTGGACTATGAGTTCAGTGTTTCGATGTGGAGTCTAAACCCCCAACCTTCTGACTCAGAGGCGATTATTTAGCTGCAAAGGCTGTTTGCAAGAGCACACGAGCCCAAGTTGCAACAATATCTGGATTGTTTGATTGACGGGCAGTTAGTATCAGCCTGGAAAGTCACGTGGACACTCGTGCAGGAAAGAGCCTTCGCACTCGCGTCCTGCTGGACGGGGCCATGTGCCTATAAAAAGCAATGCTCGGTGTGCCTCGTGGTCACTGTCTAATGGTCGTTATCCGGTATGTGCTGACGTGTACAG